AAAAGAATCTCTTCTTCATGTAATTTCATACGAAATGAAGGTCCCTCTAACAAGAAAAGACTAGTTGCGTCGCCTCCTTTTTGCAGACGGCTCAACTCCCTCTCTATCCTCCAGCCTATTATGACATTCAGGTTGACGCAGTCCACTAGACGTCCTCTCTCGTTTAGGATAAAAACGGACTGAGCTCTTGTCCATCATATGATGGGCATCATCAGAGCTAAAAATCATTCCTTCTAAAGTCTCAAGTTAACACAAGGGCAAGGCTGATTCTTCTTTACCAAGTGTTAACGTGAGACTTTTATGAGAAAAAGTGTCAGCTCTGATGATATTCACTACATGATGGAGGAAAACTCAGTCATTTTTCACCCGAAACAAAAAAGGATGTCTCGTGAGCTGCGTTATTTAGGAGTACAACAGAAATCAGCCATTGTCTTCTGGTAATATCGACCTTCGAATCTCTTCTTCATACACTTTCATTGGAAATGCAGGTTTCCCTAACATCGAAACCCAGTCACTCTTCGTATTTAATGCGATCGTAGCTGTATGATTTTTTCCCCCGACTTTACCCTAGAAGGCCAATATTCTAGGCATACCATTATTCATCATACCTTATTTGGTTGCTCATTCTACTACTTTGATCTAAGTCATTTAATCAAAAGCTTTTTTGTAGCAGCCTCCTTCCGCTTTATACAAGTGGTCTGACCTCATTTTCTCAACCATGTCGTGGTGTCAGGGCGACCTAGAAAGATGTACCACGTATTGCTATGGTAGCCTAGGCAGAGTAAGCAATACAGGGTACCTTCTTCTACGTCATCCTGACATCAATATCAAGTTGCCCATACGAAATCAGGCCGCTTTAGATGTAAGTTGATCGAATTACTTAAGTTATCTATTACTTATAGTATTCATGACCAGTTTACAAGTTAACCTTTAGATTTTTGCCCCTAATACCATAATTATTCTGTACAAAATGCCTTCCTGAGCCTCTGCACTTAACCTTCCTGAGTATCGCCTCCTATTATTTTCGGTTTTATGAAGGGTCTTTTCGATTTATTTAATAATAAGTAACTCGGATTCAACACCTTTGAAGGTGCCTACTGGGCAAGTTTTAGATCCAAGCCTGCACTTATGACCTTTTATTGACTGTGAAGGTCATCTTCATACCATCGTTTCATAAAGCTTTTCAATCGCTTTTGTGTAATTTGCTTTTCATTCAGATTGGTGAAATAATGTGTAGCTATATTCCCGTGTCTATATGACTTTTTTATGTCCAAGTATTTGCTGATCCCGCTCGTGCTTATGCGAATGAGAAGTAAGCCGCAGTTGCCTTCTATTCTGAAAACCACATGTTGACGTCAGTCAGCCACATCGTAAACTCCCAAGGGAGGCATTAAAATGGCTTGTTATGTTGTATCCAAGTGGTAGTCTCGAAACTCTACTCTCTTACTTTTATCCTTTGTAAATATTAAGCTCTATCCTTATTGAAATTTGGCATTGGTTTTTATGTGAAGCTCTGCTTCCAAGAAGCTTCACTCTACTGATGATCCGACATGGGAGGCTTGACAACGAAAGAGGTGATTGCATCCTTGCTACTGTTGCACAGAAAGAGGTGGTTGAACCTTAACTGCAGCCTCCTCCCGAAGCAGAATTGAGAAAGCGGCTGGTGAAAGGCTGAATGCTTACAGGGAAAGGATGGTGAGTCCGACCAAAAGTATTTGCTCGGATACATGAAGACCCGGTTTGTGTGGCCTAGGGTTGATTGTGGTCGCCCTTAGCTGTAATGAATTGGTATCGCCTTGTTTTCGCAGATTGGTTGGAGCGACACCGAGACCTTGTGGAAGGCGTTCAGTCCTGCGTCTTCAGTAGTCGTGATCAGTTTCAACATTGGAGCGTTAACTTGGCACATTCTCAGATTCTTCACCAGCATCGGATGACGCTTCTCCCTTACACTGCCGACGAACTGTATGTGAATGAATCATGTAAACGGTTCATCGTCGGAAATTATCATGAATAGTCGAAGGCAGATGGCTCAAAACTGATTAGCTTTCATAAGGTCTCTTTGTTGTTCTCACTAAGTTGTTGAAGCGAGAATATACCAACTTGCTATAGCCAAAGGCGGCCATAATTAAACTTAAAGCAATACCATCTGGATCTTAAGATTTATGAGAAATTATTTTTGGATTGGCACCGCATTCTCTTCGTTTCTAACACTCAGCCTCACTAACGCGTTTCATTTGACTCTCCTTCTAGGTGACGCTTCAGTTAAGACCTACTAGCCTCCTCTTTTTGTACCCCAGTCAAACCAAGTTTTTAGTGCGTAAGGTGACTATCTTTAAACCACTTCTCTAGATCCAGGGCCAAATGTGCCCACCGTTCCACTTGTTCGGACTGATTGAATGAAAGCCTAACTCCTCTATTAGACCGGACATTATACTGCCTCTATTCTTCTTCGCGGGCTCATTTACACCCCAGATTGCTGCCTCTTGATCCTATAAGTCTTTCAAGGGGAAAGTGTAACAAAGTAATCCCATACAGGCGGAAAGTATATCATATAATTGTAGGGAATTTCAGCTACCAGTTCTTCATCACATTTAGATGAAATAGAGTGATACACCTACTTGTGGTGTCTAAAGCTTACTTATAGAAGGAAAAATAATTATTTTGGATATCTTTGCCATCAGTGGATACTCATGCATAAATGGGTCTTGAAAAGAGGAAAAGATTCGATGACCGATGTTGCAATCCTTAAGTCTGCACCGATCTAATGTTGATAACTCGAGAGAATAAAGCGACTTTTGATTCCTGGTCAATGTATTTCTACGATTCGATTTTATCACTCTTCAACTTAGAGGACCATTTCGAACAATACGCTTCACACTGCGTTCTCTGCCTATTTTGAGCCTAATTCACCTGACAATGTAGAATCATTGTGGACCAGCTCGCAATTCGTTGTGACCACAACTAAGACAGATTTAATTGACCCAATTTGGCTCCGCTTCCTCACTTTATGCAGAGTTAAGAATCAGGGAAGCAATATGCTATTAACTCGTGCTTTTTCATTCATCCCTTACCACAATAACACTTGGTGTAACACGTTGATAGGTTAAATGGTTTTTCAATAGTGAGGGTCAACCATCCGCCTCGGATTGAAGCAAAGGCTCCATGTTGTTCC